CACACACACACAAAAATACACATGGGGCAAACAGGCCACATACAAAATTCACACACACACACACACACACACACACACACACAGACAGACGGACCACACACAAATTCACACACGCACACACACACAAGCACACGGGCACAAACACTCATAGGGACAGACAGACACAAACAGTACATGCACATACACTAATACACGTTTACTCACACACACATGCATACATAAACCAGAACACATACACACACAAACACACTCCGATATTGGAAGACGCACGCACACACTAATAAAGACCCATGTGGTCTTTATTAGTGCGAGCAGGACCCAACTTTGAATGCGGCGCGTCCAGCAAAGCTAGAGCGTTAATGTTTGTTTTTAGCTAGCGTTTGCAGCTATCCTGAAACATCAAAGATGAAAAGTTACCCCCCCTCCCACCCCCCCCAAACAAAAATGCAAATGTTCCTTTCATTTGAAAAAGTGACGACTTTCTCTTTTTGGTTGTGCGCTGGATGGCGAGTTCATCAAAGCAAGTGCGCCCAGGGACGGAACAAAAAGCCAAAGAGGGTGGGGTGGATGTTTTTTTTTTTTTTTTTTTTTTTTTGTCGGTGATCAGCGGCATGCATGCAGGCATTACTCCCAACGTTTAAAAAAAAAAAAAAAAGCTGAGCATCCCCCGGTGCAGCTGCTAGCTAAAAGCTTTCATTAATTACGACATATTTTTTCTCTTCATTGACTTAATTAGAAATGTGCTGCTTATATGCTTCCCCCCACCCCCAATTTCCTCCAAATTTCCTTCCATGATGCATTAATCCCCACTAAAAATAACTGCGCGAGCCTGTGTGTGCGTTCGGAGCTTGAGTATGCATGTACGAGAGCAGCGAACTCACAACAAAGGAGTCTTTTTTTTTTTCTTTTAATTACACAAAATCAGAGACATTTTTGGGGGTGGGGTAAAATCTCCTCCAATAATCATAATAATAACAGTGAGTTCGTCTGAGCTCGGAAAAATTTGCATGAAAGCTTCACATGGCAAAATGAGTCTTTGAAGACATTGGCTTTGGCTTCCTCATTTCGCCGGGGCTCCTCTCTGGTCGTCTCTGCGCGTGGATGTGTGCATACACACGTGTGTGTGTGTCCTAGATAATGTGAGCCTGACTCGAGGCTGAGGTCCCGCGGCGCTCCTGGTAGATCCCGCCACTTTTTTTTTTTTT